GGGGGGCTGCAGTGATGGTTGACTTTCTACAACTTTCTCCCATCTCCTGACTGCATCTCTGGAGCTCAGCCACAGTCATCTTTGGGTTCTTCTGTACCTCTCTCACCAAGGCTCTTCTCCCCCGATAGTTCAGTTTGGCCGGACGGCCAGCTCTAGGAAGGGTTCTGGTCGTCCCAAACGTCTTCCATTTAAGGATTATGGAGGCCACTGTGCTCTTAGGAACCTTAAGTGCAGCAGAATTTTTTTTTGTAACCTTGGCCAGATCTGTGCCTTGCCACAATTCTGTCTGTGAGCTCTTCAGGCAGTTCCTTTGACCTCATGATTCTCATTTGCTCTGACATGCAGTGTGAGCTGTAGGGTCTTATATAGACAGGTGTGTGGCTTTTCTAATCACGTCCAATCAGTATAATCAAACACAGCTGGACTCAAATGAAGGTGTAGAACCATCTCAGGGATGATCAGAAGAAATGGACAGCACCTAAGTTAAATATATGAGTGTCACAGCAAAGGGTCTGAATACTTATGACCATGTGATATTTCAGTTTTTCCTTTTTATTAAATCTGCAAAAATGTCAAAAATTCTGTTTTCCTGTCAATATGGGGTGCTGTGTGTACATTAATGAGGAAAAAAATGAACTTAAATGATTTTAGCATATGGCTGCAATATAACAAAGAGTGAAAAATTTAAGGGGGTCTGAATACTTTCCATACCCACTGTAAGTACAGTATCATCTTACAACTAAATGTAGCTACTGAGTTCTTACTTGATATTCAAAATGAATTTCTTAATAACAAAGAGACAGCAGGGTTCTCAGATGCATAAACAGTCACAGCCAGTTGTCACATTCTGTACAATGACAATATGAAATGGAACAAAAAGAATTCAATGCTGTGCACGTGGTGCACACAAATCGCTTATTTTGGTTATGTGGACCATTTCTCAGGACTATGTGAGTGTGTGCACACTGTGCTTGATTGGCACCGCCCTCACACTCCTGTTAGTTTTGTTGCACCTCATAACTTAATAGTACAAGGAGTCTAGTGGCTGCACATAATCAGCCATATACTGAAAACACCTGTGGGGACTTTGAAACTTAAGAAGCACAGTCTGCTTTCTCTCTGTGCAGTTTAATAATCAAAGGTGCACCTTGACTAACGTCTGTCATATTGTTATATAGTACAAAATTGTCAGCTTTATTTTATTGTATATAAATAGCAAAAAGACTGAAGTATGAAAATTACTGTATAGTACAAAGATCCTATTAGTAGGTATAATTGGAAATGTCGTACAAAAGACATAAAGAAACAGGTGTTTTATGTACTTTTTAAAAAGCTTTTTTTGTTTTTCACTCTTAAAAATATTGATCTGTTGTATTTCAGTGTGATGTTACTGGGAGTGTAGAGTGATGTCTGTCTTTGTGAAGTTTAATGAATTTTACAGTTAGGTGCATAATCTTTCTAGGGGAATGTTTCTGCTAAATACAACTCCTGCAGGATGGTCCAATTCTTTGCATTTGGACACAAATACACTCACAGATTACCATCACATCTTCTACCAACATGAATTTCTTTTTGGACAGCAGAGCACTTGCACCCCCAATTGGTTACTTGGAGTTATTGATCCAGAAACTGTGTTGGGGCTTTGTTGTCAGGCAAGTGACCAAGCGCGATCAATGTCGTCATCACTCCTGTCAAGCATTTACCGCTTTTAGTGCAGAAAAGATTGATGAGTGACAGTTTTGAACTTCCATCCAACTGGATTGAAATTCCTGATCCAGGTGGATGTTGGATTGGAGACAGAGTTTATAGTATAAAACATTTATGATGAGCAGAGGCGATTGTGATAGCAGCAAATATTTGAAGAGGGCTGAGTTACAAATGAGCATTTCAGCAGCAGCTTATCAGGAACATGGGTGACAAATGAAAGGAAAACACAACAAAGTGTTTCGGTATGGTGTTGGGACACCACATGCTGCCAGAACAGCGTCAGTGCACCTACAAGCTTCTGAACTCTACTGGAGGGATACACACTATCCTTCCAAAAGATATTCCCTCATCTGGTGTTTTGATGATGGTGGTGGAGATACTGTTTAACATGTCAGTTCAAAATCTCTCATTAGTGTTCAACTGGTTTGAGATCTGGTGACTGTGAAGGCCACAGCATCTGATTCACATCGTCATACTCATCAAACCATTCAGTGACCCCTTGTGCCCTGTGGATGGCACTGTCATCCAGGGTGAGATCACTCATTTATTCAGGTTTTTCCTTTAATTTGTCACCCGTCTGTGTGCTGCATGCAGAAGAGCATGTTTAACAGTGTAACTTGAGTTGTGTGCCCAACTCACAGGCCTGCACTTAATAAGAAAAGCAAGCTCCACTACATTATGCTGCAGAATGAGTTGAACATTCTCAGTGGACTCTGAATTTTTGCAATCCCTTGTGACCATCAAGAAAACAAACTATAGCGCCATTCATCTGTGAAAAAGCAAAACTTTCAGATTCACTCACCAGGATTCACAAAGCATTGATTTCTGATTATCGGAGCATTCAAGTTCAGGGTGTCCGCGGGGTTTTAAAAAGTATTAAAAAGTGATTAATCAAAATTGCCAAATTTAAGGCCATTAAAAAGTGTTTAATTTGGTTTAGAGGTATTATTTTTTAAAAATAGGTATTATTTTTTCAGACTATGGTGTCCTATTCTGATTGAAATTCTATCTGCTAAAATTTGCACTAGTTCGTTTAAATGTGGGCTTTAGCATATCGGGGCACATAATCAAAGATCCTCGTCTAGTCTCAACTTTGTATGTTTGATGCTGACGTCACATTCAGTGGTCGTTCGACATCTCAAATACTTTGCGCGCTCAGCTCAACTGGATAACCAACTGGCTAGCTTACATTGTTGACTAGTCCATCACCACCGCAAACTAGTGCCACAGTACAAGCCAACGTTTCGGCTTCAGGAACTACGTCTGACCTCCGGGTGACTATGGGCGCCACACCAACACTGCGTGCGGAGGCTCTCTGGTGTCTAAACACTGCAGTTAAACACCACTCATTGAACTCCAACGAAGGAATTGTGGAGCTGTTTAAAGAAATGTTTCCCAACTCTGACATCGCAAAGTCATTCACGTGTGGTAAAGACAAAACTGGGTACATCATCAGATTTGGATTAGCATCGTTCTTCAAAAAACAGCTTGTCGATGGCATCAACAAGGCTGGGCCATTTGTGTTGATGTTTGATGAGAGCCTCAATCAGGCGTCAAAGAAAAAACAGCTTGACATCCATATTCGATACTGGGAGGATGGCAGTCTCCAGTCCAGATACTTTGGATCTCAGTTTTTGGGACATGGAAGGGCCGACGATTTGTTGCATCACATCAAGGTAAGTTAATTCTATAACCTTATAGTTATAGAAATGTACTATTTGGCTCAAGTTTTGCTGTTGGAAAAAACACAAAATAATTTCATTGCTAAAATACCAACTAATGCTTGAAATCAAATGTGTATGCTGTAATGCTTCTCCTTAGCCCCAAGTGCCAAGCTTTGTGAATGTTGAGATCTATTTTACTGTATCTGAATGGTTATTTTTAACAGACTTTCTCCTTTGTTGATTCACAGGAATGTGTTACACAACTGAATATGAGGGAACTACTATCAGTTGGCATGGATGGCCCCAGTGTGAATTTCAAGTTGGTGGATCTTCTCCAGAAAGAGCATGCAGAGCTCTACGGAGGTGCTCAGGTTGTCACTGTTGGAAGCTGTGGACTTCACACCCTCCACAATGCTTTAAAGGCAGGCTTTACTATGTGGCAGTTGGAAAAACTTCTGCGAGCCATGCACTTCCTTTTTCATAATGTTCCTGCCAGGAGGGAAGACTTCACTAGCCTGACAGGGTCCTCCTGCTTTCCCTTACCATTTTGTGGCCATAGATGGGTTGAAAACGTTCCTGTGGCAGAGAGAGCAGTTGAAGTTTGGCCAGTGATTAAGACATATGTGGATGCTGCAGAGAAAAAGAGGGTCCCAGTCCCCTGCACAGCCTCATATGACACCATAGTAACAGCACAAAAAGATCCTTTCATTATTGCAAAACTCCAGTTCTTTCTGGCAATTGCAAGGACTTTCAACCCCTTCTTGACAAAGTTCTTCATTGCACATTTTATGTAGTTTGTTTTATTTTTATTCATGAAGTGAAATAAATATGTGCAATATGTGGTCAGCATCAGTGAGTCTCTAAATCTATTCTGTTGTGTATAGTGTTATATATGTCCAAATCTGCTTCAACATTAATAAGGTCGCTGATTAACACTTGAAACTCAGTGTCATGATGGTTTTAAAAAAAATCCAAAGGTAGTAAAAAAGGTATTAAAAGGTATTCAATTTAACTTAAGGATTGCTGTATATACCCTGAAGTTGTAACACTAACAGATGTCATCAGTTAAATGAACTGATTACGTTTCTTAACATTTCTTTGGGCCCCAAGACACCAGCCACTCCCATCAGCAGTTTACAGCCTTGGAGTCAGAGTTGCATAATCACTTGTACTGCTTGTCCAACAGGAATTAGGCAAACTAATCTATCTTTATGACCAGTGCTGGGTTTTATTGACCCATATGCAGTTTCCTATTACAGTGCATGCAACAGTAACAGATGGTGGCCAAACAATAGCACTGTAGTCCTCTCTTTGCAGTGCAAGTTACTTTGTTCCAAGGTCAAAGCAATAGGGAAGCTTCATGGAGCTCATTGTTGACTGTGGTTGCAAAACTAAGGCAAGTGGGACTGTAGTTAGATGAGGTGTATCTGTTATGTACCACCACTGAACTGATAGTAGATCATTTCAGAGGCACCGGTACTCTTTAAAAAGGGAATGCATTGCCATAACTGAGGCCTATCTGCAGAGAGAACCAGGATTTTACTTGAAGCAGGCTTATATTAGTGACAAGCTTCTATTTAATTCAATTTTACTGATTAATCTGTTTTATAAATACTGCATATGTTATAGTTTAGTATCCTTGAATTTCTTGTCTTTCCTTTTTGGGAAAGAATAACCTGTGCCTCTCAAGAGATGGAGTAAGCATAGCAGGAGGCGATGTAGACAGTGAAACCCGAGGCAGAGGTGTCACCCACCTCCTGTGTCTCATGTCTGTAGCATATTCTGCTTTACACCTTTCATCTTGTGTGTCGCTCCTCTGACTCCTAAAGAAAATTGTCTCTGGTTCTTAGTCCCATCAAAGTCTCTCCCAGGTTGCTGTCAAAGACTGCACTGCTGCTTGGCTGCTTTTACAAGCTGGTGACAAATGAATGGAAAATCCTGAAAAATTATAAAAAATCCAGGGGTCAGTGATTAATATGCATATTATTTTTTATGTGACATCATTTTTTTCTTTATTTTTCCAAAGCCAAAGGTGGTGTCTTTAGATATCTTCTGTGTCCAGTACGTTAAAAAAAGGTTGATCTTTTGCATTTTGGTTTAGTTTTCTTTTAATTTGCCACCCATCTGTAGTTACAGTGGTTTCTAACCTTTATTTATTCTTGATACGTCAGTGACATCAAGATATCTTTTGTAACAGAAGATAGTACACAAGATGATAGCAAGACCAGTAAGTCACTCAAAACAGTCATTGCACACCTGGGCACAACACTGTGCTTCAATCAATAACAGAAATGATTGTCCTAGCCTACCCTGACCCGTAATTCCTTCACGCCATAAAACCTGGTTCATGTAGGTCCGGGATGACTCAGTCTCAGTGAATGACTTGGCCAAGTTATAATTTGCATTTTAATATCACAGTGCTGTGCTGAATTGTGCAGAGACGGTTCCTTAGCTGTTTGTTTACACGCTACTCACTTGTTCAGTGGAATATTTGTATGAAGATGCGACGTGACAACTGCACTTGGCGCTGGGACAACAGACCCTTCTCTGGACTGTCCTCACACTGTTTACATAGCAAAAGAACTGATGAAAAATTGTTTGTGTGTCAGAACTGGCCCCTCTCTGGTTTGTTCTTAGCGCTGTGGAGATTGGAGATGTGTTTATGCTCGAGTCCCTCGGTGTTCACCTTGCTAGCGAGAGCGACTGGTGGCCAGTAGCAGATTGTTTTTTCTGGTTGTATAGTCTAAACATATCTTTGTCTCCCCATCCAGACTAAAATGGCATTTGTCCCTTTTGGTGAAATTGGACTATGTTATATTTAGAGGTGTTCCTAATATTCTGACCCTCTCATTATGTAGCTGGGGAGGACAAAAATATAGAGACACCTCTGAGTATAATGTAGTCCAGTACAACACCACCTTTAACTATAGCTTCAATAATAAACATATAATTGAATGTACACATTTATGACAATTTCACCAAAGACTGGAACATTTTGAGCTTCAAAAACACAGATGTTAAGGTGGAAGTGTTGCATTTAAGGACATATAGTTGTACAGCTGTGCCTAATAAAGTGGCCTGTCGGTGTATATCAGCGATGTTATATTCAGGATTAGTCTGAAGGTGTGCCAGGTTTTGAAGTTACGATCAAAGCCAATGGATCCCAATACACCATAGAGGTGTTGCCCAAAAAATGTATTCAAATCAGCTAAGTGCAGTGTCAGTAAATCACAAGCAGTATGTGCATAAATCTGGTGCACCAGTTTAATGATCCTGCAGTAGTAAACAGCTCTGAAGCTCCATAGAGGCTTTGCAGTGGCTGTGCACTGAATCACTGGCCAGTGACAGAGTCTTGTCTGTTTACATAACAACAATAATAATCTTTATTTGTTGTGCTTCCCACACACTGAAGCAAATGAAGTAAAATACATTAATGGAACAGTTTAACATTTGGGGAAATTCAGTTATGTCCGTTGAAGCCTAGACTTTGTTACATGAGAAGATTGACACCACTGTTTGGATGCTAACTATGATGTCATCAGCCAGTCAGTGTAGCTTAGCTTAGCATAAAGACTGGAAATGGGGTGAACACCTAGCCGAGCTCTGTCTGAATGTATAATCCAGACACAGGTGGTGATCAGGAGTTTCTTCAGTGACCACAAGACTTCAGAAAGTTACTGCACCTGACCAAGAAATAGTTACCCCACACAACTCCCCATAAAACATCAGATGCTTGGTTTTACATTTTTTAAACAGTTTTTCTGCTGATAAAACAGAAGACGGCCACATAACTGTAGTTATGGCAGCAATGGAGTATAACATGTAAATGACTGGGCCTTAGGTGGTGGTGGTAATTACGTTGTGCCACCCTCATACAGAACCAGCTGGTTCTCCATGTTTCCAGTCTTTGAGCTGTTCTAACCTGCTGCTGACGGTGGCTCTGTATTCATAAACCGGTATGAGATTGGCATTGATTTTCTCATCTAATTATTGGCAAGAAAGCAAATAAGTGTGTCACCCTGAATGTCAAACTGTCCTTTTAAACAGAACCAGAATAAAGGACATAAAACAATTTCCAGTAAAATAAAAATGTTTTATTGCTGCTGTAATAAAATTGTATTAATCAGACTCTTCATCTCCTAAACCTCTTCTTTCTTTAAGTAAACTTCCATTATATATTTGGCTTTTATACAAGGATTTAAAAATAGACTGCACAGATGTTTTCCAATAAGATTACAAGGACTTGACTATGATCTGTGGATCTGCAGACAGTGAAAACATTTGTCCACAAACACTCTCCAGTCACTCATGTTCTGCATGCAAACACTGCTTAATGTAATGCAAAACTGGTATGTCTCCTGTTATCAGTACAAATAATTGCTTTTATTCAGTCAAACACATGCTGCTGTAGATTGTTGGGCGTATTAGTGGGCATCCCTAACGTTTAGCTCCTGAGTTGCATCATGTTACAATAACAAGGTTGAACAATTCACTCAGAGGCTGGGAATAAATGCATGGGTAGTCGTAGTGGCTTGAAACATTGAATTTCAGGTCAGTTTTTCAATGACAAATGTTTCTGAGCACCAAGTTCCACCTCCACAGCCACTGCACATGATTCCAATCAGAGAGCTGCAGGGAGAGGAGATAGTGAGCTGTGACGGAGGAGGAGGAGAGAGAGGACAGTCATGCAGTTACTAGCAGATACCCACACACACTTTCTCACATACGCTGCATGCACTTCAGAGGACCTGCTTTGTAGCCGCTCTGTGTGTGTGGCTCTGTTCCCCGCAGGCATAAGGTGCCAAGATGCCGTCCCTTGGCTGGCTGCTGGCTCTGTCTCTTGCAGCGCTGACAGGTAAAAAGTTCCTCTTTATCTTCACGGGTCTGTCTGCAGACTTTTATTAAACTACTGTGATAATCAATAGTTCTATTTGTGTACAGTGATGTGTAAAATGTAAAAACTGATTATATGTAATTCGAGCATCGTCATAAACTGTGTTTTGCAATTTAAATCAGTTTCATTGCATGTATTTAAAATGCTATGTCACACTCATGAAAACACTTGTAGTTTGCAAAGGGGTCCCAGGAAATTGCCATCTACTCTCTCCATGCCTGTTTGTTTACTCATTGCCTAAAATTAGCCCCTCTTTATACCTCTGTCTTTTCTCATGTTGAACAGATCATCCGTGCAGATGGACATGATTAAATTACACACTCTTGATTGTGTAACTCTTATTGCACTGTTCTTTCTTGTGCGTACTCTGTGTAGAGTTTTTGTCCTTATTAATCCTGAGGCACATTGATTCCACAGATTGCTCTGACATTCAGGGAGTCTAAGAAAATTAAACATGATGAATAAAAAAAAAAGGCAGCGTGGGCATACGCTATTCTGAAAATGTGCTTATGTAGCTCAGCTAAGTCACTCCTTTGTGTTACTTTTCAAGGTCTTTTACTGCCATTTCTCATTTCAGGAAACGCTATTGGCGCTGCTGCAGATGAGCAAACGGAGAGGAACTGCTCACTATCCCCACCGGTAGGATCAGCTTGTGAATGGAAGCACTCCCCATTGACTTTACAGATGAAATTAAAGGAAATGTGTCATAAAATTAACCTCACATATTGAGCTCTCCTTATGAAATATGTGGCATGAAGTTTGTACATTTGCAGTTAATGATTGCTACACTTGTATTACAGTTAATGATTACAGTGGGAGATCCAGAAAGAGATGAATCAGCAGTTCCTCAGGTTTTATTTAAGGCTGATGACTTTTCACACTCTGTCTCTCTCTCAATTTGTGTGTGTGTGTGTGTGTTTACAGTACCTTCCCAGCACAGCAGTAAATACCACTCTCCAGCTGCAGGAGTTACGAGAACGAATGCTTCCCCTGAATATCTCTGCATACATTATCCCTGGCACTGATGCTCACCTGGTACATCAGCTGTCCATCATAATTAATTCACCTGAGTTAAAACCTGGTGTGTGTGTATATGAGTGCATGTAACCTACTTTGTTTCTCTGTCAGAGTGAGTATATTGCACAGCGTGATGCCAGAGTGGCCTTCATGACCGGCTTTACAGGCTCTGCAGGTAAGATGCTTTTCTACTTCCTCCTGTTCATCCTCATCATTGTGCTCCTCCTCCTCCTCCTCCTCCATATGACTCAGCTCCCCACGTCTGAATACTGTGGTCATGCAGCTCCTCTACTTTCATCCCACATACTCGCTATACAGCTTGTGTCTCGTTCATTTGGTTTCATTGTTTTCACTCACTGTAACATTGCATCCTCCCATTCAACTGTGCTCTTCTTTATAGAGTAACTTGGCCATTAAATCATAAGATCTGTTTTCATGCAACAGTGGTCAACAGAATTAATGACCATGCTTATTTCTATACTCAGCTTTTGCATGGATGAGAGAATAAATCCAATTCTGTAAGGTTCTGTTTACAGCAGGCCAAACCGACACCAAACTCCATTAAAAAAAGTCAAATTTCTGGAAGAATCAGATGTACAAGGTTTAGCTTCTGAGACATACTGATGCTATTTAAATTGATTTTTTTCATGTGGGGGTACAACAGTGGAATGATAATGTAACCAGTGATTATATACCCACCACACATCACCAGGTTGAAATCTCCTCAGTGTCTCTTCTTGTGTTTCCCCACACTCACACACATTTTTCACCATTAGTTGGCCCATTGCACATTGGTCTAAGTCCACTCTGACATTTATAGTCATTTGTAATTCACTGTCACTGCTGCCTTCTCCATAACACAGCTGCTGTCATGCCTCTCCCCAGGCACCGCCATAGTTACTCAGGCCAAGGCCGCTCTGTGGACAGACAGCCGCTACTGGATTCAGGCTGAGAGACAGTTGGACTGCAACTGGGAGCTGGAAAAAGACGGTATGTTTGGGGTGATTGCTATTTACACGTGTAACAACAGCTGCAGTACACATGGACTTCAATCAAGTATTTTTAGTTTTGGAAATCTAGTTTAAAAATAGCCTGACAAATGTGAGTCCCATTTATAGTATCACAGGCTTTACATGATGAAAAATAGCAAACTCCAGTCAGGAACATATCATGCCGACGGTGCAGTAAACTTAACACACAGGAGGTTTAATTTTAGTTCAAACAGCAGCTTTCAGTTTATGACTTGCTTCAGAGATTATCAGCAATCAGAGATGTGCATGTTGGCGAAGAGAGCTGAAAAGCACCGCGGCTTAGGAAACCACCTGCAAACTGACAAAACACAAGCAATGAAGAAAATATTTATTCAACTTTTGGCAACACACAGGTAGAAATAAGAAACACTGCAAATGCAAAAAACACAAGCAAACTAAGAAACAAGTTCACCAATTTGACACGTACAGCATAAAGAAATGCTGTGCAACTGCAGAAAAGCTGCAAGTCATACTGTACATAAAACATTAGGAGCTTCCTGTGAAACTGAGCAGTAATATCAGTGATACTGTATATGAAAATGAGCAAGGTTTTAACATTCTGAAAGCCTTCAGATATTATTGCAGATGCTGAGTATACAGTACCTAGTGTTTTCCTTAGTGTATTAGTTCACTGTGTATGAATCTGCAGCTGAAAATAGCCCCCAACAAATACACAGTTCATTTCTGTTTCAGTAATGTTTGTTTAAAAAAAACTAGTGTCCAGTTGTTTTTTTTTTAAATGAAAGTTTATTTTGTGACCTATTTTCAAAGACTTACATTTTTACTAAGAGCGGCTGGGTTGTTGGCTGGGAGCTGCCGTGCAGACTGGGTAGTACTGAGACATGGTCTCCCCCATCGTTTTGGTGTTTTCATGACATTTATTGACAAGAAGAAAGATACAGAAAAACACCAGTGTGTTGAGCTCTTTCAGCTACTAATCTGTAATGTTGACAGCTTTGACACAACTTCTGCCTTTGCTGGAATTTCACAGTATATCTCTCACTGCGGCATTATGTTTTCGGATTGTCTGTTTGTACAAATCCGTCCCATTCTTGTGAACGTGATAGTTCAGGAAGGGGTTTCTTCTAATTTGGCACAAACATCCACTTGGACTCAAACACAATGTGACAAAGCTCTCTTATCAGTTCTCTGTACTCCTCTGTAAAAATAGCCTCAATGTGACAACAGAATGTTTCTCACTTGAAAGCATTCGCTAGAATTGTACATGTCAGCATGGTGATAACTTTCATTTTGCCAAAAAATACACTTAATATCTTTTGGTTAATTCCTTCAGTCTTTGTATTACTTGATTTTACCCAGACGTGCATGTAAACTGTGACTTGACTGGTTGGCAACGGTGGTAATCTAGTTTAATTTAAAACGGTTTCTAGCAATATGAGTCACTTGTAACAGAATAGGTTTTCTCTCTGTGTGTAATTGTAATCATTCATATATTTGCATGCAAGTCATTGCCCTAAGTTATTTATTTCACCTTTAAATATTGCCATGATGTTTTTCACATTATTCACAACAGGTAGGCTAGCTGGATTTTTTCTGGGACTTACTGTAAAGTCAGTAATAACTTTGTCATGTGTGATGTTTTCCAGTGTCCAGTATGGCAAAGTGGCTCATCTCCGAAGTCCCACCAGGCGGCAAGATCGGCTTCGACCCGTTCCTCTTCTCCCTCAGTGCGTCTCTGTTCTCTACTCCTCTTGTCAGTCCAGATTAACGTCAATAAATTGCTCGCCCAAGTAGAAGGAAAATTATTGATGGAGCCTCCAGATGTCACGCAGACAGTTTACTTGTGACCGATTTGGTTCGGTGTGTGTGTGTGTGTGTGTGTGTGTGTGTGTGTGATTGGCTGCAATTTCCTCCATTAGATATGCAGGAGACCTACAGCGACAGTCTGGAGTCAAGCAATCGCAGCCTCGAGTCCATCCCTGATAACCTGGTCGACCAAGTGTGGAAGGAAAGACCACCCATCCAGCCTGATGGCCTCACACATCTGCCCAACAGAATCATAGGCAGGTTTCCTTATGTGTGTCTATGTATGTTCTTGTACTTGTTACATAGTGAGGACCCAAAAAGGATTTTTGCTACAGATCAAGGACATTTTGGGAAAGTGAGGATGTTTAAGCCGGTCCTTACGTTTTGAAACAGTTTTTTAAGGGTTAAGACTTGGTTTTAGGGTTCAGGTTAGAATGAGGTTTAGGTTAGGGTTAATGGAAGGGTTATGGTTAGGCATTTAGTTCTGATGGTTAAGTGTTAGGGTAAGAGGCTAAGGATTGCATTATGCCAATGACTATCCTCACAAAGATAGGAGTGTGTCTGTGTGTCATAAAGAGCCTGTTTATGTCTTTATGGCTGGCAGACAGATCAAATACAACCTTAGAGGGAATGGAAAAGCTTCCACATAAGGAAGTTGTCTGGATGCCCATGGGCTTTAATAGTGTTTATGGCTGGAGAATAGATATGTGGAACTGAAGAGCATCATAAACCTAATGGTGTGTGTATAGATTTGATTGCAACCTGGAAAAAAAAAACATTCCATTAAAGGTTTTAAGTAAAGCTTTTATAAATGCTGTCTGATAATGTCTGATATGAGAGCACGCTTTTATATTTGCTGACTGTCTGGGTCGAGTCTGTGAAGTGATGAGTAGTTTGCAGACAACAGAAATGATAAGCGCTACAGTAAGTTACTGGAGCAGCACTGCTGTTTGTCTGCACTTAATAGCAATTGTCGCTTTTACGGAGGGCACTGCTGTTTACAGCTACTATTTACTGAGGGTTCTCTCAGGTCTGTGAAGCATTTAAGGCATCTTTCAGTTAATTTCCACAACTTTACTCTTTAGATTCTCTCACTACTCTCACCAGCCTTGTTTTCAGCTCCAACATGCAGCTGTTTCAAGGAACAGCACTCTGATGAGCTCTGTGTGCTACCAGCCCAGCGCCAAATGGCAAGTCATAGACTAGTGAAGGTTATGGAACGAGCAAGATATTTCCCCTCAGAGGTTGATGGTGATCATAAAAGATAACAGGAGAAACAATACTGGGCTTCAATTCATTGAGGGGACATAAACACGACTCCACATGATAATATTGCTGTGTGTCTGCTGGATGTGTAAACAGTGTCAGTGTTGTCAGCTTGTGGCTCCTCTAATAATGTAAAAAAAAATAAATTGCCACAGTTTTAATAGAAATCCACATGAAGATACAGAACAAAGCTTTAACTTTAAAGTGAAATGTGTATGTTTGCAGAAAGGTCCTGGCAGATCAAGGTGAAGGACATACGGAGCCAGATGCAGGACAGTCCATACACACCCACTGCTCTTCTGCTTTCAGCTCTGGATGAAACGGCTTGTAAGTGACTGCTGATCACAGCTGAATTCGCGGAAAAGGCATCTGACATCATGTAAATAGATTCCAGGCAGTTATGAATGTATTTATTTCAGTTCATAACAACTAGAGGATTTTGATTATGAACTGAATAAAAATGTTTTATTTAACACAAATGTGCAGAAGTACATCTACAGTACTGTTAAGATCAATGCAAAAAGAAGATCAGATGATTTTAAACAAAATATTTATAATGCTGCCTTTAGAAAAGGTGGTTCAAAACAAACATGCTTAAGTTATCACCAGTAAATCACTAATATGTCAGACCACTAAAGATTTGAAAATAAAAAAAAAACATGGATGGTATTAAAAGAAAGGATAAAGAACAGGATAAAGTAAAAAGGTTCCTTTCCCAGCACTTTTGTAGGACACGTGGTGTCTGCAGGACACAAGAATTTGCTTTGCTGACTGGCTCTACAGTATACACACAAAAAAAAAAGCAACCAAACATTTTAGCACAGAACTGGAGCCTGAAGAGTTAAAGTCTGATTTGAAGGATTGTGATCTGTTAGTACTGGTGTAAGTAACTAATAATAACTAATAATCAGGTTATGAAGCATGTTTTTAGAAGTGTACATCATTTTGCAAATGAACATTGAATTATTCAGAAACATCTTCATTAATACACACAGATGGAGCGCTGGGCTTGAGACCTTCCCTGACTTTGATTTCAGAATTAGTGAGTCTGTTTTTAATGACAGAGACAAAAAAAAAATCATAGACCTGGGCACAAAGATCAGACACAAGTAGTGCGTCTTGGCTCAAGTGGATCTAGAAGATAATATAAATGAAGGTGCAAGCTGCTGCTGATAGTCAGGGCTGGTGTTTTGTTTTTTAGGGCTGTTCAATATGCGCGGCAACGACATCCCATACAATCCTTTCTTCTACTCCTACACACTGCTGACGATGGATGAGATCTGGTAAGTCCATTTCTCAGGGATTACATGGGATTCTTTTCAAATTTTCTCCCTGTATCACTGGTCCTGTCATTGTCATCACATACGTATGCTGCAAAAGAAAAACATGTAGCATTTTCTTCTTTTCTGTACCTCTTTGTGCACTTTCCCTTCTACCAAATCTACCAGGCTCTTCCTCCACATGGACAGAGTGACAGAGGAGTTAAAGGTGTATCTGAACGCCTCCTGTGAAGGTCCTCTCTGTGTGCAGCTAAAAAATTACGACACTGTCCGTGATCATTTAAAGACGTATGTGGCCCAACCTGGTGTTAAAGTGTGGATCAGCACAGGGTACACAAACTACGCACTTTATGAGGTCATTACACCAGAGGTATGCAACTGTTTCATTTCCTAATATAGTGTACTGTATCATTTCATCTTCTGTTATGATTTTTTTGTATATACATACATACATACATATAGAAGTGTGACAAATGAAAGGAAAACCCAACATAAAGTGTCTCAGTAAGGTCTTGGCCACGTCTCTGAACTCTACTGGAGGGATGAACAGTATTCCTCCAAAAGATTTTCCCTCATCTGGTGTTTTGATGATGGTGGTGGAGACGCTGTCAATCCAAAATCTCCCATAGGTGTTCAACTGGTTTGAGATCTGGTGACTGTGAAGGCCATAGCATGTGATTCCCTTCACCCCTCATGACCTATGGATGGGGGCACTGTCATCCTGGAAGAGACCGATCATTTATTCAGGTTTTCCTTTAACCTGTCACCTGTGTGTACATACATTACAATGACATGATTGTTTGATATGTTTGTAGGAGAAACTAATGACAAGCTTCTACTCTCCTGTGCTGGAGACTAAAGCCGTGAAAGATGAGACTGAACAACGGATCTTGAGAGATGCTCATGTATGTCATCCACATCCAGACATACTCAGGTTATATACAAAAACACCACCATTGTGTGAATAAATAAAAAAGCTTCTTCTTGTTAATAATAAAGCTTTCATTTTGCTCAATTAGATACAACTATAGCACCTTTTGTGTAGGTTAATGCAGCTCAAAGTGCTTTACAAATTACTGATAAGCTGATGGTAAGACACAACAAGTGTGGACAATCTGAGACTAAAGTACCTGACTGGTTCTGTGCAGGTGAGGGATGCAGTCGCAGTCATCCAGCTGCTAATGCGGCTGGAGAAGGCCGTGCCTGAGGGGAAGGAGACTGAACTGACGGCTGCACAATATGTCAATGAGTGTCGTCGGTAAGGGTGCATGTGAATAAAGGAGACATGATAGCGTCTGATTTCCTGCTACTTTATTTGAAGTTACAAATATAATTACAGTTACAATTTCTTCACTGTTTCAGCCAACAGAAGGACAACAGAGGCCCAAGCTTCGAGACCATCTCTGCTAGTGGACCCAATGCTGCGCTCGCACATTACAGGTACGATTCTTCTCAGTAACATCTGTATCTACAGGTCAAAAAAGTGTTGAAGTCAGTACCCTCCAAAAAATGTAATTGACAAAGGTCTTATGTTTTCTTTCCTGCCTTAGATAATACCGTTAGTCATGAATTTTCTTTGTATTTGTTTTAGCAGAAATGTAAATGAGCTAAAATGATTTAATTGGTTAATCCACCCCTCCCTTTTTCTGTCAGTTCTCTGGCTCCAGCTCATGCAAATGGATTAATCATATACCTAAGAACAATTGTCAGACACAGCTGGGGAGAATGGGCAAAGACATGATATTAATTTTTGTTAAATTGATAATTGTAGTCCTCCATGTATGACTGAAAAGGTGCTAAATTTCATTCTATGTGGTATTAAAAGGGTCTTGAAAAGTCTTAGATGCAGTTTGGTCAACACTGCTGAAACCCTGTTACTGGTTGTCATATCCCCCTCTCTCTCCACTGGGCGCTGTATAACCACCATCACATGGGTGTAGTGTTATTGTTATTTCCTGTTTTTCTGCACCGTAGCCCAACAGAAGAAACCAGCAGGAGGTTGACAGTTGATGAGATGTATCTGATCGACTCTGGTGGCCAGTATTTGTGAGTAAAACCACACTCTGCTCACATACTTCCAGTTTCATCTCATGTCACTTGCAGTTCAAATTAATCATTCAGTCTCTCCCTACGGTCAGAGATGGGACCACTGACATCACTCGGACAGTTCACTGGGGAACCCCCACATCCATGCAGAAGGTAAAGGTTTTATTTGTAATACTGAAAATGTGAATGTTTGAAATGGATATTTACATGTTCAGTATTTACATGTCAAAACCAAACAGAGGCCCAATCATCCAGACTGCAGTCACACAGTGGAGCTTTTCTTTACCTCTCCTCAGCCATGAAAAATATTTCCATTTTCTTTATTAACATAAGATAAGATAGCACTTTATTGGAAAATATGTATTACAGCAGCACAAGAACAAACAGGCCACATAAAGAAGGAGCAAATATAAATAAAAGACTGAAAAATGGAGGAAACCGCCCATAAATCAGAATTAAATTAAAGATTAAAAAGAAGTAAACAGTAAGCAGAGAACAAACTGCAAAAATGAAATAAAAAGTTCTATGCAGTATTCTACATACAGTATTGTTCAAAATAATAGCAGTACAATGTGACTAACCAGAATAATCCAGGTTTTTAGTATATTTTTTATTGCTACATGGCAAACAAGTTACCAGTAGGTGCAGTAGATTCTCAGAAAGCAAACAAGACCCAGCATTCATGATATGCACGCTCTTAAGGCTGTGAAATTGGGCAATTAGTTGAAAGGGGTGTGTTCAAAAAAATAGCAGTGTCTGCCGTTGACTGTACAAACACAAAACTATGTTGTACAAACGTTTTTGTTTCTAGGATTTAGCAATCCTGTGAATCACTAAACTAATATTTAGTTGTATGACCACAGTTTGTTATAACTGCTTCACATCTGTGTGGCATGGAGTCAACCAACTTGTGGCACCTTTCAGCTGTTATTACACTCCATGATTCTTTAACAACATTCCACAATTCATTTACATGTCTTGGTTTTGCTTCAGAAACAGCATTTTTGATATCACCCCACAAGTTCTCGATTGGATTAAGGTCCGGGGATTGGGCTGGCCACTCCATAACATTAATTTTGTTGGTTTGGAACCAAGACTTTGCTCGTTTACTAGTGTGTTTGGGGTCATTGTCTTGTTGAAACAACCATTTCAAGGGCATGTCCTCTTCAGCATAAGGCAACATGACCTCTTCAAGTATTTTGACATATGCAAACTGATCCATGATCCCTGGTATGCGATAAATAGGCCCAACACCATAGTAGGAGAAACATGCCCATATCATGATGCTTGCACCACCATGCTTCACTGTCTTCACTGTGTACTGTGGCTTGAATTCAGAGTTTGGGGGTCATCTCACAAACTGTCTGTGGCCCTTGGACCCAAAAAGAACAATTTTACTCTCATCAGTCCACAAAATGTTCCTCCATTTCTCTTTAGGCCAGTTGATGTGTTCTTTGGCAAATTGTAACCTCTTCTGCACGTGCCTTTTTTTTAACAGAGGGACTTTGCGGGGGATTCTTGAAAATAGATTAGCTTCACACAGACGTCTTCTAACTGTCACAGTACTTACAGGTAACTCCAGACTGTCTTTGATCATCCTGGAGCTGATCATTGGCTGGGCCTTTGCCATTCTGGTTATTCTTCGATCCATTTTGATGGTTGTCTTCCGTTTTCTTCCACGTCTCTCTGGTTTTGCTCTCCATTTTAAGGCATTGGAGATCATTTTAGCTGAACAGCCTATAATTTTTTGCACCTCTTTATAGGTTTTCCCCTCTCCAATCAACTTTTTAATCAAAGTACGCTGTTCTTCTGAACAATGTCTTGAACGACCCATTTTCCTCAGGCTTTCAAATGCATGTTCAACAAGTGCTGGCTTCATCCTTAAATAGGGGCCACCTGATTCACACCTGTTATTTCACAAAATTGATGACCTCACTGATTGAATGCCACACTGCTATTTTTTTGAACACACCCCTTTCAACTAATTGCCCAATTTCACAGCCTTAAGAGCGTGCATATCATGAATGCTGGGTCTTGTTTGCTTTCTGAGAATCTACTGCACCTACTGGTAACTTGTTTGCCATGTAGCAATAAAAAATATACTAAAAACCTGGATTATTCTGGTTAGTCACATTGTACTGCTATTATTTTGAACAATACTGTAAATGTGCTTAATGTGCAACAATGATGTATGATGCAGCTCCTCTTTAATATAGTAAAGTACAATATAATATGTATACAATTGTGACTATAGGATAACAAAATATACAGTAATACATATTGGTATGGTATGATATATAAAAAGTGGCATAACATGCATTGTCATATAAAGTAACTAAAGCAGCTAAAGTTTTTGACAAAACAAAATCCAAAATCCCTGTCATTAACCATGTGTCTCACTTCACAGGAGGCCTTCACTCGAGTGCTCATGGGAAACATTGAGATATCTCGAACCATATTTCCCTCAGGGACAAGAGGTTGGAATCATAAATATTAGACATGCATTGACCTTTCCATATTTCACCACTAGAGAGTCCTGTTTCTCAGCTTGTCATCATTTTTGAGTGGTTGTGTTACTGCAGCATTACCTTTGACTGGAGCTCTCGATGTGGATTTTGTGTATAAACAGGCATAAACATGGAGCTGCTGGGTCGCCGGGCATTGTGGGAGGTGGGCTTGAACTACGGCCACGGCACGGGTCATGGTATTGGAAACTACTTTGGAGTTCATGAGTGTACGGTCCCTATTTATTTCCTATATGTTCTTCTAATTGTACAACCCCAGTTTGAAATCTTTACTCGTATTCAGTAGTGAAATATTTATTTACTGTACTAATAAAAACAATGTAACGCTAAAACAGACTCGACTAAAACAGAATTCAAAGACAGATATTAGTGCAGATTATTTCCCCCAATTACCTGATTAATCATTTGTCCAGTTGTAGTGGAAAAAGTCTCCCAGAGCCCACAGTGATGTTTTTAAACAACTTGTTTTGTATCTCTAACAATTCAAATTGGAAACCAGTTTATCATAATATAAAACAGAGAGAAGCAGCAAATTGTCACTGGGGAATCTGTGGCCAGAGAGTGTTTAGTGTTTTCATTAAAAAAAAAAAAAAGTCACTTTGTTTTACTTTCATTTCAGTAGATTCTGATTAATCAACTAATCCATGAAATGACTTTCCAGATTTTAGGTCCCAAGGACTTTATATGACCCAAAAACAATAACTTGATCACAAAAAACAATCACACTAATAAAAAACTCAGTTGTAAAATACTGTAGATATTCCTGAAAAGGGGATGTAGAACACAATAAGACACTATTTAAAAAGTTTTCTAGAAAAATTCAATAGACCCTACTGATTCATAGGAGGTTACAGTGACTGGGAAGTAAAAGTGAATATACACAAAGTGTTTTTAAGGTTTGTTTTCATTTTTTCTGTGATATAATTTGTATTTTAATCACATAATATTACAATATTTTTGCAGGGCCAGTTGGCTTTCAGAGCAACAACATTCCTTTCACAACAGGCATGTTCACGTCTATAGGTGAGATTTATAAAAGATATTATTCCATTTTAGAGGAAGCTAATGTCACTTTTCTCTGCTCAGATGTTGAATGTGGAGAAACACCTAACTGAGGATGGTTTTGTCTTAGAACCTGGATACTACAAGGACAATGACTTTGGGATCCGCATTGAAGATATAGCCGTGACTGTCCCTGTCCAAACAAAGGTAGACTGTTCACTGAAAATCCAGACCATCATATTCTTTATTTGGACTTGATCTTGTCAAACTGCAGTAGTTACGGTACTTTATGAATATCATCTGGCTCCATGTGTTTTTCTTTCCCTCAGTATGGTCATAACTACCTGACTTTTGACACAGTGTCACTGGTTCCATATGACAAAAAACTGATTGACACTTCTCTCCTCAGACCAGAACAGGTGAGAAATAGTATCTGATCGCTTTATCCATTTCTTAAATTTGTTTTTTTTTAGGAATACTGTATTTTGAGAATTTGCTGGAAATCCACCATACTTTTATTTTGTTTAAAGGAGGTAGTAAAAAGTGCTTACTGCATTAAATAAAGGCCTGGTGCCAAGCTCTAGTGCAAGTTTACTTCCTCAAAGATAAAATCAGTTTTGTCGTCAAATTTGTAAATACCCTTGGGTATACAGGAAGTGACATTATTTAAAAGCACTGGTTTCCTCTTAAAATCCCCCTTTTACACTTCATGTATAATCTTCTTTGTAGCTCTGACATCAAAACACACTCTAAGAAAACACAGCCATGTGTGAAATATAAATTTTGTCTTTTGTTTCCATTTTATCTGACAAGGAAATATGAGATGTGGGTTTGTAATTTTTCTTCAGCTTCAATTTATATGTAGCACACGTCACCCAGAAAGGTAATACAACAGTAATAACAGAATTACAGTAAGATCAATGGTGGAAAATAACTATTTAAATTTACTAAAATACTGTGCAGGTTTGAGCTACTTGTACTTATGAGTATTCACAGTACTTATGAGTACTGAGCATTTCCATTTTATGTTTCTGTCTATTCTACTCCACCGCATTTCAGAGGTAGCTGTTGTACTTTTTACCATACTGTATTCATCCTACAGCTTGTTAACCTCTAAACCTCTCCCGTGGTTCTATATAAAAACTGTCCCATGCCCAAAGAGGTAAAAGTAAATACATAAGTTAGATAGACATAACCTTATTTTTAATTCTCTCCAACCCCATTACCCTATAT